CCAGCGCACACAACACCTCTGCAAGCTTGACATCCCCACAAGTTACATGCTATGGTCCAGAAATCGCACGGCTCAAGTACGAGTTTCTTACCATCCTTGGTGCTCATGGTACATGCGACATCCTGCGATTTCTCCAGCTATACCATGCTGTGTTTGGGAAGCAGTTCAGGTACAAAGACCACGGTTTGAAAGGACAGCATCAGTTGATATCCGCGCTCAAGGGTGTTGTGGATTTTACCAGGGAAGAACCGAACAAGCCTCTCAGCATTTCGCTCGTCCAGTCGGAAGCCAATATGAGGACCCTTGGGCTCATCCAGTCAAGGCTGAGAGTCGCGGTTCATGCTGCTCTGGAGGAGCTCTTGCCAAGAAATTGTGTTACCACAGCACCTTGTGGAGGTGGCGCATCCAGCCATTGGATTTCCCTGCAGCAGCTGGAAGAACGGCTAAGTTTGAAGACCCGGAAGCAGTTGGGCGAGCTGTTAATGAATCATGGTTTCCCGAGGTCTTCAAGAAGGGCTCATGTGAAAAAGCGGCTTGTGCTGCTATTGAAGGAAATGCCTGATTTACTCGAAGTGCAGGAAGTCACAAAGAAAAGAGTTCGTGTGTGTCTCATTCGGACAGAGAAGGACACGAGGATTACCGAGTGGAATCTTCAAAATGCTAAGTGGGACGGATCCATGTATACGTGTCAGTAACTACTGTGTGCTAGTACAGTACTTGTGCCCTGCATGCATCCTTTGCTTGTGCTACTAGAACTTGTTGCAAGTGGAGGGCACGGATTGTAAGTGATGCCTATGAACGAATGACTTACAGAAAAACGAATAGCCACGTCACAGTAACCGTATTGTTTTGTCCCTTGTGATATTTCTGTTCCCCCAACGCTCCACACTTCACATCTTATCCAACTCCTCATCCTTCCTCTACTCACCTACCCCAGGAAAAGCCAAAGATAGGAGGAGCCAAGGGGAAAGGCATGAATGGGAGGGAGGGGTGGAGAGAGGGGACAGGTGAAATCTGTCTGCTGTTCTGCATTGCTGGTCAAACCTAGTGCCGAACCGACACACCATAACGGTACTCCCTTCTCAAACCCGCCTTTCCCCATCCCCCTTGCCTTGCCTTGCCTCATCCCCATTTCCCCACCTTGCCCCACCTTCACAATCCACCACTCCTTCCTGGGTTTCAGACTACCGCAGGGGAGTGGCCACGGCAGTGGCACCTCTCTTCCACACAGCCTCATCGTCGCCTCACTCGACACCTGCCCAACGCTGTCTTCCTCTTCTGCAGAAACATGTCAATCTCCTGTTGTTTCCTCCCAGCAACAGATGAAAAGAGTGTCCAAGCCCACATAATTATAAGCCCCTAGGGGCATCTATCCTAAGAATAACAGGTATTTCCTAAGGGCCCATGGTGGCAAACATATGGAGAATGATGGTCCTACCGTATAATGGGCGTTACAATAAAACAATCAAAGCAAGGAGAATGAAAACAAATCTGAATCAAACCATGTAATATAATATGGTCCTAGCTGAGTACTACGTTACATGATACAGGAATAACCAGCCCCACCTGGCCTTATTTCGAACCTGTGGGCCTTATTCAGCATTTGCACGGCCAAAGCTGTGAGCAGCTGGGCCATGATGCACTTGAAGAGAATAAAGAGCTGTTTCGAATATGCTTCATCCCTTCATCGCGCACGAGTTGCTCAGATATCCTCCCCGGATGAGATGAATCTTGTCGTTGTTGTCGGGGTGCATCCAACGGTCCACAGCTTCGTACATGGGTGGGCCAGGAGGCATCTGGATGTCTAGGAGCGGGACATCAGACCTTCGCACGAGTTGCAGGGGTATCCGCCTTCGACGAGGTCGATCTTGTCGCTGTTGCCGGGGTGCATCCAACGGTCCACAGCTTCATACATTGGCTGGTGGATAAATTGGATTGGAGGGCAGGAAACAATGCAAGGCCGGATTGGTCAAACACTCATGCTTACACAGTACACACCCGTGCGTGCGCACAGATACGCACGCATGCACTCACACGCACAGATTCCACGCACACATATGCACAACTACCATGACGGTACATGGAGGAAGTTGGGCAAGGTGAGGCAAGGTGAGGCACAATGGGGCAGGGTAGGGTGAGGACAAAGGTGAGGTAAGGTGGTGTGGTAAGAAGGAAGAACATCCTGCTGCCACACACAACCCCACTGTTACTGCACAAGACCTGCTGGTAACTCACCACTCCTTTTGGGACTCACCACTCTCCCTTAGCCGTGTGCACAGTCCACGGCATGTCTGAGTGGATGGAGCAAGCCCCCTGTTACAGACAACCCTGTAGCTAGCTAACATGCCACCCTGCTGTTACTGCACCCACCCACCCATCACCCTGCTGTTAGTGCACCCACCACCCTGCTGTTACTGCACCCACCACTCTGCTGGTATCTCACCACTCCCTTAGCCGTGCGCACAGTCCACGGCATGTCTGAGTGGATGGAGTCAATCCCCTATTACATACAACCCTGTAGCTAGCATGCCACCCTGCTGTTATTGCACCCACCACCCTGCTGGTAACTCACCACTCCCTTTGCCGTGCGCACAGTCCACAGAGTGCCGGAGTGGATGGAGTAAGCCTGCGTGTTACACAACACCCTGCTGTCTCACACAACCAATACAACCCCTCCACCCACCACCCTGCTGTTACTGCACCCACCACCCTGCTGGTAACTCACCACTCCCTTTGCCGTGCGCACAGTCCACGGCATGTCTGAGTGGATGGAGCCGTGCTGGAAGCAGGAGAAGAGGAAGGCGGCGTTGGCTGGTGTGGAGTGCGGTGAAGATGGTGATGAAGAGGTGGCTGACGGTGGGTCGGTGTGGAGGAGAGGAGCCGCTGCTGACGCCACTCCCTTGCGGAAATCTGCAGACAAGGTGTGGGGCAAGGTGAAGCACGGTGGGGAAAGGTGAGGCACGGCGGGGCAATGTGGGGCAAGGTGGGGCTGGGTAGGTCAAGGTGGGTCAAGGTGGGAAAATGGTGAGGTAAGTTGCGGGAAGGTTAAGTAAAGAGAGTGATTTAAGAAACCGAGGCAAGCCAGGTTGGGAAAGGCAAGTAGGGCAAGAAGATTAGGGTTGTGGAAGTGCAATCAATAGGCCTTATGAAATCTTTCAAGGTGCACCCCCCATCCCAAAACTCGCTCACTCACTCACACTCACTCACTGGGGGCTGTTGTCACTGAGCCTAATTCCTGTGGCGCTGCAATGGCTCTCATCTCATCTGCAGCTCAAGTCACCAGACACACACATCACACCCACGCACCCTCAATGACTCGCTTCTCGGCAGCAGTGCACGTGCTGACATGGTTGAAGCAGCGGGGGGGCTATTGTCGCTGAGTCTAATGCCTGCAGTGCTGCAATAAGTCACCAGACACTCACTCACACCACACCCACGCACCCTCGATGACTCGCTTCTCGGCAGCAGTGCACGTGCTGACATGGTTGAAGCAGTCAAAGGGGGGCTTTTGGTGCTGCAATAGCCCTCATCTCATCTGCAGCTCAAGTCACCACGCACTCACACCGCACGCACGCACCCTCAATGACTCGCTTCTCGGCATCAGTGCACTTGCTGACATGGTTGAAGCAGTCCGGGGGAAGGTTTGCCTCCGAAATGATCCCCGTATCCAGCAACTGCGGCGTTGCAATGGCCCTCATCTGCACGTCACGGCACAATAGAGAGGTGATTGTACCGAGGTGACTTTTGAGTCGTAGTGGAAGTGACACCTGCACGTCACGGCACAAAAGATATGATTTTTTTTTTTTTTTTTTCCGAGGCGACACTAGATAGCTACAACGCGGCTGGAAAGGAGTTGTTTTCAGACGTCTCAAAATCTGCAGGTCGCGGCACAAAAGCGAGGTAGATTGTACCGAGGCAATGCTAGCTAGCTACAAAGCAGCCGGAATGAGCATTTGCATCTGTTAGTTGGTAACGAGATTGAGCTGATAGAGTGGAGTTAGAATAGGAATGATAATAGCAGTAATAGCTTGCGGTAGCAGTAATTGCTTAATAATAACAATAATGATAATGATGATAACAATAATACCAACAAAGTATTGTAATTATTACAAACGGCAAGAGCGGAATGCGTGACATCTTACCGCAACTTTGTCGTAGTTGCTGTTGATGAGGAAGAGAGGCGTTGTGACGTGCTGCACAATATGGTTGGCCATGAAGCACTGGCGTGGGCGGGAGGAGGGCGGAGAGGGGATGGGGGGGGCAGAGAGGGGGTGGGGAGGGTGGAGAGAGGGTGAGGAGGAGATGTCTTATTATGGCAGTGGTGAAGATAGTTGGCCATGCAGCACTGGTGTGTGTGGGGAGGGCGAGGAGGGTGAGGAGGGCAAGGAGGGCGTAGAGAGGGCTTATCATGGCAGTAGTGAAGAGGGGTGAAGCGGAATGAAGCGGAGTGAAGAGGAGTGAAGCGGAGTGAAGAGGAGTGAAGCGGAGTGAAGAGGAGTGAAGCGGAGTGAAGCGGAGTGAAGCGGAGTGAAGAGGGGTGAAGCGGAGTGAAGAGGAGTGAAGCGGAGTGAAGAGGAGTGAAGAGGAGTGAAGCGGAGTGAAGAGGAGTGAAGCGGAGTGAAGAGGAGTGGCGAATGCGAATGAGGAAAGAGATGGGGGCGAGGAGGGCGAAAGGGGTGTGGTGGGGTGCGTTTAGGTTGAAGAGGGGTTCAGCGAGTCGGTGAAAGGTACTGTACATGGCATAATATGTGCAGTCTCCTACCGATGGATCAGAACCACGGCTGGACAAGGTGGCATGGCATGGAATGGCATGGCATGGCATGGCATGGCATGGCATGGCATGGCATGGCATGGCATGGCATGGCATGGCATGGCATGGCATGGCATGGCATGGCACGGCACGGCATGGCATGGCATGGCATGGCATGGCACGGCACGGCACGGCACGGCACGGCACGGCTCGGCATGGCATGGCATGGAGGAGGGCAGCAGCAGCGCACCTGATGGTGGTTCTCTGGCTCTCGCTCCTGGACACACGCTGCTGGGAGGCTGGCGGTCAGATTCTGGATAAGAGGGCCACAAGATAGAAGAACGGTGAGAGCAGGGAGGAGATAAGAGCAAGGCTGGGAAATGTGAGAAGGTTGGCAGTTATGGGTTGGCGTGGGATTGCATGTCCCTGACTTGCTCACATGCATGCCCTGACTTGCTCACATGCATGCGCTGACTTGCTCACATGCATGTCCTGACTTGCTCACATGCATGTCCTGACTTGCTCACATGCATGTCCTGACTTGCTCACATGCATGTCCTGACTTGCTCACATGCATGTCCTTCACTTGAGCAAAAAAGTTGGCAACCCTCCTAGTGTTGTTGACATCAGGACTGCACATGGGGAGGGAGGAAGTGAGGGGAGGAGGTGGGAGGGAGGGAGAGAGAGAGAGGGAGGAGAGAGGGAGGGAGAGAGATACACACATGCATGCACCGACATAAGTCAAAGTGTCAATACAGTAACGAAAAAAAACACCTGCAATTTTGCATTACAAATAAAAATAAATAGTAGTAGTAGTAGTAATAATTATTATTATTATTATTATTATTGTTATAATAATAATAATAATACTAATAACAACAACAGCAACAACAACAGCAACAGCAACAGCAACAGCAACAGCAGCAGCAGCAGCAGCAGCAGCAGCAGCAGCAGCAGCAGCAGCAGCAACAACAACAACAACAACAACAACAACAACAACAACAATAACAATAATAATAATAATAATAATAATAATACAAGTCAGCACAAGTCAATGTGCTCTTACGATTCAATCCATACGAGTGACAGAGGAGTGAAGAGGGATGAAGAGGGGTGAAAGAGAGTCTTACACGTCAAGGAACATGGAAGCGTCAGCAAGGCAGCGGACGTGCATGGAAGGAGAGGCGGCTGTGAGAGTGTCCCTCACTCGATCGCAGTGCAGCAGCGCCGCCACGCCTCCCGCTGAACTCCCCGACACAACCACCTGCTCGGTTGATGGGTGGGAGGGAAGGCACCATAGGCATGGGTATTTCTGAGTGCCCTTCACTCAATGATCGCAATGCAGTAGCAGCGCCACCCCTCCCGCTGAAGATCCCGACACAACCACCTGCTCGGTTGACGGGCGGGAGGGAGGGCACCGCAGCAGGCAAGGGGGAAAGGGAAGGGAAGGAAGTGAGTCCTTCCTTTCCTTTCCAGCGGACGAAAGGGGGAAGACATGGCCCCCAGCGGCTTCCAGCGGCTTCCAGCGGCTACCAGCGTCTACCAGCGGCTACCAGTGGCATTCCTTCCTGCCCGGCAGCAATGCTCCCCCTGACCATCCCACAACCACCTGCCATGCAGGACAGGACAAATCCAGCCTCGGCTGACCCGCCACTCTCCTCCCTCTCTCACCATCCTCCTCCCTCTGACGCTGCCCCCTCGCACCCTCCCTTCTGGTCCCTTCCCCCTCTCACCCTGTCCGCGTGGTCAAGCCCCTTCTTCTCCACAAGCACCACAAGCACCTTCAGCAGCAGCTCCGCCACTCGCCTTCCCCTCATCACTCTCCTCCCTCTCCACTCGCCTTCCCCTCATCACTCTCCTCCCTCTCCACTCGCCTTCCCCTCATCACTCTCCTCCCTCTCACGCTGCCAATCTCACCCTCCCACCCGCCACCCTCCCCCCTCTCACCCTGTCCGCGCGGTCAAGCCCCTTCTTCTCCATTAGCACCCTCAGCAGCAGCTCCGCTACTCGCCTTCCGCGCACGTACAGCGGAATGCCCTGGGGGGGCAGGATAGGAGGGAGGGGAAAGGAAGGGGAAAGGAAGGGGTGGTGGACGAGAGAGGGGGAGAATGAGAAGGAAGAAACAGCACGACGAGAAGCAGAGAGGTGGAGAGGCAGAGAGGTGGAGAGGCAGAGACGGAAGTGTAAAAAGGTGGAGAGGCGAGCAGGCGGAAAGGCGGAGAGAAGGAGAGGCGGAGATGTGGAGAGAGGATTAGTGGGATAGGGGGAGAGGCGGAGAGGGGAGAGAAGGAGAGGCGGAGAGAAGGAGATGCGGAGACAAGGAGAGAGGGAGAGAAGGAAAGGCGGAGACAAGGAGAGAAGGAGAGGCGGAGACAAGGAGAAGGAGAGGCGGAGACAAGGAGAGAAGGAGAGGCGGAGAGAAGGAGAGGCGGAGAGGCGAGATGTGGAGAGGTGGAGGGAGAGGCGAGAGGGAGAGAGTCGGAGAGGGACGGAGGGGCATGTGACTGACATTGAAGTGAATGGGCTCGTCCTGGTTGCCTGAAAATGAGCCGCCATCGCAGTAGATGAAATAGACGGCGTTCCAGTTGTAGAAGGCTGGTGTGAGGTTGGGGGCAAGGCGAGGGTGCAGCACAAAAGGCGTGTGATCAGACATTCCAGCGAGGTTGGGGGCAAGGCGGAGGTTGGGGGCAAGGCGGAGGTTGGGGGCAAGGCGAGGGTGCAGCACAAAAGGCGTGTGATCAGACATTCCAGCGAGGTTGGGGGCAAGGCGGAGGTTGGGGGCAAGGCGGAGGTTGGGGGCAAGGCGAGGGTGCAGCACAAAAGGCGTGTGAGACGTCTCAAAATGGCTTTTGAGGTGCTTGAACAGCCGCCATCGCAGTAACTGAAGTGGACAGCGATGGTATTCCAATTGGGAGAAGGCTGGGGGGGACAGGGGTGGATGCAAGGCAGTGTCAGCACAGCAGGTTAAGAGGAGTCAGCACAGCTGGTGAAGGGAGCAGCAGGTGAAGGGAGCAGCTGGTGAAGGGAGCAGCAGGTGAAGTCAGCTCTCCTCACTCACCAGGGCTGACGGTGCCGCGGTGTGCATCAAGTGTGCGGTGCGGTGCAGTGCGGTGTAGCAGCGACTTATCCTCACCAGGGTTAACAGTGCGGTTGAAGCTGAGCATGCCCTGCATGCCTGCCATTCAGCGCAAGTATGCGGTGCAGTGTAGTGCGGTGCGGTGCGGTGTAACAGCAACTTCTCCTCACCAGGGTTGACGGTCTTATTGAAGCTGAGCATGCCAATCATGCTGCCGCTGAACATGAACTGTGCATCGAGGTGCGGTGCGGTGCGGTGCAGCAGCTACGGATTCTCACCAGGGTTGACAGTCTTATTGAAGCTGAGCATGCCGTTCATGCCGCCCTTCTCCTTATCCAGCATCTCCGCCACTGAGCGCGCGTGCTCCGTGGATCCCCGGTGCGTGCGCGCCCTGTGCGCGCAGGCGTGGGGGGACGCGCACCACGCTCCGCCCTGGAATGCGGGCGGAAGGGGAGAGTGGAGGGGAAGCGGAGAGGGGTGGGGGGAGGGGAGGGGAAAGGAGGGCGGAACGGAAGGTGGACAAGGGGGGAAGAAAAAACAGTAGAGGTAAACAAGCAGGGGATGGAGGGCCAGGGAGGCGGCGGAGGGTACTAGGCGGTGCAGAAACAATTGAAAAAAAGGAGGAAAACGGAAGCCGTTCGTTTTAGTCACACCTCGAAGAACAGCACCCAGTTGTTTTCTCCCGAGCCATAGCCCTTCCGATAGTAGAACCCAGGAGCCGACCCGTCCAAGCACACTGCGCCCTCCGCGCGCCCTTCTTCCGCCAGAATCAGCTGCAGCGGCGGAATCTGCGCCTGCGCCTCCGCTTCCGCGTCCGCCTCACCGCCACTGGCGGAAGGAGCAGAATCCTTCACTACAAGCCAGTCCCCCTCCGCGGAAGACCGGGAGGATTCCTTTACTAGCTCCGACGCGGCGGCATTGTCTCCGCTTCCGCCAGCAGCCAGCTTGCGGGGTTGCGCCGCATTGACGCCCGCTCCGCGCACGCCGCCAGCTGCCGCTGCGAGGAGCAGCAGCGCAAGGAGACCCGCCGCTGGCGCCGCAACTGGAGTGAAGCCCCGGCGCGACATGACGGGCGCGCGGAACTCGTTCAACGAGGGCGGCGGAGAAGGGGCAGCGGAGGAGGGGCGGCGGGAGGAGGGGACGGCGGGGAACGGGTGGCGGAGTATGGTGTAGCGGCGGAGAAGGGACGGCGGAGGAGGCGGAGCGGCGGATGATACCGTGGTGAGAAGCAGACGCCTGTCAACCGATGGCCGATAGTAGTGCCTTCAAATCAGGTCCAGAATTCAGGTCCAGCAGCGGCAGCAGCAGCAGCGGCGGCAGCAGCAGCAGCGGCGGCAGCAGCAGCAGCGGCAGCAGCAGCGGCAGCAGCAGCAGCAGCAGCGGCAGCAGCAGCGGCAGCAGCGGCAGCAGCAGCAGCAGCAGCAGCGGCAGCAGCAGCAGCAGCAGCGGCAGCAGCAGCAGCAGCAGCGGCAGCAGCAGCAGCAGCGGCAGCAGCAGCAGCGGCAGCAGCAGCAGCAGCAGCGGCGGGAGGAGGGGAGCGAGAGCGTGAGGAGTTGCTTGTGATTCTCACCGTGGGTAGTACCACCAGATGTGACATGATCGTAACCTGGACGTCACATCTAGTAGATCCCTCTGCTCGCCGTTACCTGCACAGGGATTCTAGGAAGTGCCGATCGGGGGAAGGGCAGTCGCGTCGGGTCGGGGTAGGATCGGCCCTTATCGCTGGGGCAGGGGGGGTAGGTCGGGGCAGGTGGTGGGGCAGGTGGTGGGGCAGGTGGGGCAGGTGGTGGGGCAGGTGGGGCAGGTGGTGGGGCAGGTGGGGCAGGTGGTGGGGAAAGAATAGTAGAAGCCGGCGAGATTCACTGGGTTTCCCGTCAGATCATGGCTTATAGGTGCGCGTATACGCGCGCCGGTGGGAAGCGACAAAAGAGATCTCCCCCCACCCTCCCGGGGCCAGAAGTTCCCCTTTCCTTCCGTCCTTCCCAGGTACTCCTCTCCTCCCCATTCCCACCCACTCGCCCCCCTTCCAGTTTTCCTGAGTAATGCCATGCGACGCGAATACTCTCGGACGGCTGTCAGGGAACCTCAGGTTTCTAGGATAGGACAAATCCAGACCTCCAGAATGATCGGATGATAATCACTGGTCCTGAGAAACCCATACTGGCAGGAAGTGCGGCTGGAGAAATCTGTCGTCACGTGGCCTCGTTTGTCGGGACACGCTGCGGCAGTAGGCGAACCGCGGCTCGCCACGTTGTACAACGCATCCTGCTACAGCCCCGAGTTTGAATCCACACGAGAGAAGTTACCCACCGCATGACGAAAACCCTAAATTTGGAAGATTGAAATTGTGGTATACTCACAACGAGTCCCTCGCGAGACGATCGTACACTACTTGCTAGTTTCCAAACCGAATACTCGTATGCAGCGATTAGGCTCCCCGCTCACCTAGAGACGGTTCCCTCAGGGAGTTCTTTCATTATGGATTAACTACAATACAAAGCCTTAAATCTATACGTGGACCTTAGATTTATCTCAGCTAGAGCTGAATTTTCAAACCTCCACAAAATTTTAAAAGGATTGAAAAATATGTAATGTGCGTGAGCCAAGTGGCGAAGACTGCAGTAAAAAAACGCAACCATGTTTTTTGGTATTGACTACAGATTTTAACAAAACGACGAGTTGAGACTTCACTGTACCTGACATGAGGACCCTGAAAATATATAGTCTTTTGCCTTTTCCTTTCAGTTAGGGACTAGTATCGCAAAAATAGTGAATGGGACAATAGTACAGGTACATCGCGATTAGGTTCGTGTACAGCACTATCCGCACGCTTCTTCAGGTGGTTTGAACGGCATATCTCGTGTCAGGTGTAGGTGCAGATGTTCCTGGATACACCTGCAGATCTGTCAGCCGGTGTAGGTCCACTGCCATTACCGGATCAGATTACTGTACTGTATTTCAGGTGAAAGGCTTCCATTCACGCACGCACGGTTCTGTGGTGCACGGCTGGACTGCTACAGTACGGTAATGCGGCAGGTTTGTATTCTTTGGTGGGTACAAAAGTCAACGCGAGTTGAGACTAGGTGACACTGCAAGGAGAGGATACAAGACAAAAATAGTGGTCTTCAGCAACTCTCGTTATCATTACAGATTCCTTCTTCCGTTGTTAAAAAATGCCCTTTCTCATCGGGGCTAAATTGGACTTCCACAAGGATATGGGGTTTCCACTCCAGCCACAGTTTGGAGTTTGAGTATAAGTGAGCTGTCCATACTAAAGTGGGAAACTGAAGGCTCCAAGAAATGTAAGGTAGTTTTTAACGTGTGTCTTAAAGTTCTGAGGTTGTGGCCCGTGATTGAGAACACCTGATAGTTCCTGATCACATCCCTGGGTACAACACAGTTCTGTACCCCTGCCACTCGGAACAATTTGGCATCATGCAGGTGGCTGATCGAGCCATTAGTTTTCTGAGGGGCAAATGAATGAACAGCCGAGATTGAAGGCACGTGCCATTGTGGCGATGAAAAGGCCTTGCTGTACTGTAGTGATTGAGCCCTAGTAGCAGATGCTTTACCAGGAAGTGACGAAGTTTGTAAGTACAGTCATTTGGGGGTTAGATAAGAATCAGAGCGGATGTAGGTATATATCTTGTATTAAGTTTGAGGATTGAGAGCGAAATGTGAGGACCGTACGAAATTGTAGGACTACGTACCTACAATTTAATATTCATATGCGTGCTTTGCATGCTCCCATGTTGGTTCTTTTTTGAAGGGGCTTCGGGAACGGGTGGATAAACGGGATCAAAAAATTACAATATGAAAAAGGATGGTGAAGTCACCATCACAATAGAAGTAACAGGCATGAGATGTTCCATTCCTGCTCTCCCGACGTGCCATACTCCAACATCAAAGTGGCTGTAACGGTACATGCCTCCACTATTTCTGCTCTCTCAACACGCCATGCTTCTTTTGCATCACAGTATACCGCACCAGGCCCTCAGAAGTCAGACTTTTTTCTCTGATTTGGGCTTTTTTCTCTGATATTTCAGATTTTTTTTCCTGTGTACTCTGATAAAATCAGACTTTTTTGGGCCTCTGTAATTTTCAGACTTTTTCTAAGGCTAACTCTGAGAGTTCAGAGTTTTCTGAGAGTGTACTCTGATCATTCAGAGTACAAACGCGTCCTTGACTGGTGATTCGGACTTACGGGTCACAGCAGATTCGCACTGCCAAAGCAAAATCGCCTTGACACAGCAAATCCAAGCCTTACATCACAAGATTTTCGCCCAATCATAGGCAAATCGCCCTGACACAACAGATTTGCGTTGTCAGAGCACCACAATTTTCGCCCAATCACAGCAAAATCGCCCTGACATTGCACATTCGCCTTTTCGCACCACAAGATTCGCCCTGACACATATGTTCGCCCTGTCAGAGCATGTTTTATCGAAAATCCCCTTAGTGTAGCATGTTTCGGTAGCAGATTAATGAAACATTGAATACATTGATTTTGAATGATCAGACTTTTATTTTAAGACACTCTGACATTTCAGCTTTTTTTTTTTAACGAAGTCTGAGATTTTCAGACTAAAATTGTGTACTAGTCTGACGAATCAGACAGGCCTAAAACGAATCTGAGGGCCTGTACCGCACCGATTTGTTCATACTATCCTGCATCAGCTATTTCTGCTCTCGCACGGGAGAGAGAGGGGTTGAACCACAGAGCGTCAGCATAACAGCGGATGTAACGGTAGTACGCGTCTCCATTATTTCTGCTCTCCTGACACGCCATGCCTTACTTCTGCTGTATCATACTGGCCGTGCCACTATGTGCTCACTGTTCCTCATCGGCTATTTCTGCTCCCCTGACACACCCCGCCATACATCTTCTTATGCACCTTATCTTTCCTCGGTCACTTCTGCTCACCCATCCCACTTTAGGAAGATGAATAACCACGGCAACGCCAAAGTAGCCGCACCAGTATCTGCCTCGCACTATTTCTGCTCCCCTGACACACCATATTTCTTCTGCATCTTATCCAACTCCTCCTCGTTCTTCTTCTGCTCACCCACCCCAGGAAGAGAAAAACAGAGAATAACCGGGGCGAAGGGCAAAGGGGTAGAGGTGGAATGTGAATATGAATATGCCTGCTGTACTGGTTGCTGGTCAAACATAAAACCGTAAAGCAGTAGTATGGAAGCGGGTTCAGATATGCTTCAAAAGAAGGAGCACATCCTAATCCCAGCTCACTCACTTCTCTGTTGTACTGGACGGTCGGTTGCACCTGAGACTGCCGGACAGCGGAGCAGACTGTACCTGGTCGATCTTCTTAGTGAACTTGGCCTGTTGGTAGTAGAGCACTATGAGGTACCGATTGGCCACGTGTGAACCCCGACAGAAGAGACGCCTCATGGGACAGAAGAGACGCCTCATGGGACAGAAGAGACGCCTCATGGGACAGAAGAGACGCCTCATGGGACAGAAGAGACGCCTCATGGGACAGAAGAGACGCCTCATGGGACAGAAGAGACGCCTCATGGGACAGAAGAGACGCCTCATGGGACAGAAGAGACGCCTCATGGGACAGAAGAGACGCCTCATGGGACAGAAGAGACGCCTCATGGGACAGAAGAGACGCCTCATGGGACAGAAGAGACGCCTCATGGGACAGATAAAGCGCCTCACAAGTCACCAGGGCAACAAGCAGGGCACACGTATTGCATACCTGGTCGATCTTCTTGGTGAACTTGGCCTGCTGGTAGTAGAGCACTATGAGGTACCGATTGGCCACGTTGAACCCCGACAGA